AGCGCTTAGTTTTGCCATCTAATGATGAATTCACTGTACGTTTAGCTGGTGCAACTGCTTTTTCCAAGCTAGATTTGAAAAGTGCGTTTTTCCATATGCCATTGGCCCGATGCTTCCAAACACCTAACTGCCTTCCTTGCTCCTGATGGTCTATTTCAGTACAAAGTCTTACCCATGGTTTTGAGTTCTGTAATGTTTGTTAATCTTTCACATATCGTCTCTCCTGTCATCAATTTTCTCGCGACATCTTTTGTACGGTTTGTTTGAATTCATGATTACAATACACATATTCGTGCCCCGCGTTCCGTCGTGCTGATTTCTGGCTGTGCTGCTTCTGCGTGCGTACGTTGCCGTCCAGTGTGCTTGCGAATCGGATAGTATACTCGGAATTACTATAGAACGTCTATTTCCATTGTGCTCGACATGTGCCACAGGTATAACGCAACCTACAACTCGAACTCAACTGTGATTAGACTGTTAGTTGACCCCCTCCAAGTTTTGGATTTTACTAAGGGGTTGAAACGTTCCTAATACTTTCGACCACTAAGGTTCCGCGCCCGCCTCCTCGCAAAAGTTCATGACCCACACCCTGGCAGGTATCGATGGGCAAGTTGCCTACATGGATGATATTTGTGTTTTCGGTCGCTCACAGGAAGAACATGAATAAAAGCTACACAAAGTCCTCCAGCGCCTCAGTGATCTCAATTTGCGTCTGAACGCAGAAAAATGTCTCTTCAATGCACCGGAAATCCAGTCTTTGGGACACGTCATTTCACGCAGTGGCATTCGACCAAGTGATGAAAACATCAGGGCCATCTCTGAAGCCCCAACACCCAAAAACTTGACAGAACTAAAGTCCTTTTTAGGAATATGCTCTTATAACCTGCGCTATCTGCCGGATTTTGCGCCTGTGGCAGATCCATTACGACAGCTAACAAAGAAAGGATCGGCGTTCGGTTGGGGCAGCAATAATCAAAATGCCTTTGATGAACTGAAAAGGAGAGTTGCGTCTGCTCCCTTAGTTGTCATTTTTGACGAATCTTGCCGCACCTTTGTGTCCACTGATGCGTCTGATGTCGGTCTCGGAGCTGTCCTCTCACAACTACAAAACGGAGAGGAAAAAGTTATTGCCTACGCATCACGAAAGCTATCAGATTCCGAACGTCATTATTCAGTTGGGGAAAAGAGCCCCTTGCATGTGCGTAGGCCTATAAAAAGTGGCATTTATTTCTGTTCGATCGTCGTTTTATTCTGCGTACTGATCATTCAGCCATAACAGCCCTTCTCAGCAATGGATCTAAAGGATCTCGCCCAATGCGAATCGATCGCTGGCATGCCAGGCTCCTTAACTACGATTTTGAAATTGTGTACCGGCCAGGTTTGCAAAATCAGATTGCTGACGGCCTATCTCGCTTACCCGTGGGGTTGGAATATGAAAAAGAGAGACTCAGAGAGGCGGTACTAGTTTCCAGGCTCGGAGCTAACCTGTTTGCCTTGACGATCGACGAGCTACGAAGAGAGAATGCTAACCATCCTTTACTGCATGAGATCATTGAATATGTGCAGCAGGGCTGACCCAAGAATAACAAAATCTCCGGTGAGTTTATTCCGTATTATGCAATTCGACATGAACTATCAGTGATAGATGGTTGCCTGATGCGTGGTTCGGTGTTTGTAGCTCCGCCCCAGTTGATACCCAAGATAATAGCTTGCGCACATGAGGGACATCCAGACATAGTTCGAACCAAAAATCGAGTGCGACTCTATTTCTGTTGGCCACGAATGGCAGCTAGCATTGAGACATTTGTGGTCAATTGTAATGCTTGCCGATTAGCGGACAAAAGTTCTTTGCCCGTTAAAGCCCCGACACAGCCAATTGCTTACCCGATGAAACCATGGACCAAAATCGCCATTGATATTATGGGCCCTTTCGCTACTGCTCCTATGAATAAGCGAAATCTACTTGTTGCTACGTGTTTTACAGTAGATGGCCTGAAGTGCGACCAAGTTACTACTTCGGTTGTGTTACGTTGGCTTAAACACTTTTCAGTCTTTTCGGTTTACCGCATGAAGTAGTAACGAATAACGAGCCACAATTTTGTAGCCGCGAATTCGCAGATTTTCTACATTGCCATAACATTAAGCACTCCAGAACTGCGCCCTACAATCCTGCAGCCAACGGCATGGTTGAGCGCTTAAACCGGTCTCTAAAAGAAGCTATACAAGCCATACACATAGGAGATTCGGACTGGGAGGATGCAGTTTTAACCGCGGTATTTTCCTACAGAACATGTGGCCACAGAGCCGCCGGAAGAACGCCAGCGGAGCTGATGCTAGGAAGGCCCTTACGCACAAAGTTAAATGCTGCACATAACCTTTTATCAGCGAGTGATGCCGAGGTTTCAAATCGCATAGCATCTTACCAAAATTCCTACGCTAAAGCATAGACACCAGTGCAGTCCGGCACATACGTTCGCGTCAAAAGCAGGGCGACAAAGAAAGGCACACCTTCGCTTTCCGCTCCACTGCGCATCGACCGTACGCTTGGCCTGGGCACCTATCGATTGGAGAACGGCCTAATTGTCAACGCGCGTCGACTCCACACAGCTCACGAACAAGCTAATCAGCCCGACCGATCTGTGCATGAAGACCCGGCTGAGTTACCATTACTACGACGTCAGCTGCGTCGGTCCGCTAGAGCGGTGAAACCTATTGATCGCTACGAACCAGGTTGAGGCAGTTTTTCAGAAATGGGAATGATAATGTGGTAACCATGTGAGCAACATCGATTGACTCAATCTCACCGGTTGGCTTGCTGACTCATTCCTACCTTATCACTGGTCGTGTGTCTGTCGTTTGACTCTCCGTTTGACGAGGTTTTAGACTCAGTTGTACTTGGTTGTTTTGCGAGATACATTTTACCTGTTCTGTGGCTTGCTTGATACAGCATAAACATGAGCCAATTCCCGGCTGCTTATTGCAAAATCCTACGTATTCAGATGCCAGGAATTTAAGACGGATAATCAGGAGCTTTCTTGAAGAATCCGCTGAGAATCTGAAGCAATACGCAGCGACATACTTGTGCACACGACAGAAAATCGACAAATTACACTTGGTATGTTACCTCAAGTTTATAAACTTCTTCCGTGATGCTGTGCGTAGAACTAAAAAAAGCTGGCTTGAGCGTTTTGAAAAGACATTAAACCACAAAATTTTGAGTCTATTTTACTTTTCGATCCATCGACAAATGTAACTAACATCTAATCCATCCAATTAACTCATCTGCAACTTGAGGCACTTCTTGTGGTCTAAAATTTTGTATTCCCCCTCAGAGCATTAACAAGATAGAAACCCAGGCGCAGCTCGAAGTATTCCGTAGACCACTTGATGAACGCACACCAACATCTAGGGATAACAAGCAGTGGCTGAAAGTAAAACTCATTGATCTAACATATCAATTTCGAATTACGACCTCCAGACAATGATCCCCCTGGAGTTCAAGCATTTAGATGTCTTAAAGCAGCTCAGATTCAAAGGAATAGTAGTTATTCTTCACCCTGACAAGCGATCAGGCGGTGTGGTGCTAGACAAATCCGCCTATGTGGAGAAGATGATGACCATACTTAATGACCACACAAAGTTCGAACCGGACGATAGCCCTGACAACCCAGCTGAACTAGAGAGAAGGATAAACACGGAATTGCAGACTTTGTTAGGAGTAAACTTCATTACTACTGCAAACACAAAATCCTCAAGACTACAGGCACACAGACACCTCAACTTTATGGGCTGCCAAAATTACACAAGATGCATGTCCCACTAAGGCAAATCTTATCCATGAGCAACGCACCGCAACACAAACTGGCTAAAAGTCTAGTGACAATACTGGAGCCAGTTAAGAAGTCAATGGTTAAGCACAGGTTAAAGGACACGTTCGAACTAGTGCAACTGTTGCATGGTATCCAGTTAACTGGAAAGTCTATGGCTAGCATCGATATAGTCTCACTATTCACCAACGTACCATTGAAAGAGACTATCCAGATCATATGCAACCATGTGACTGAGAGCCAATTAGAACTGTGTATTGCAGTGTCCGAAATAGAACGGCTCCTGCTGTGAAGTACATCGAATGTGAAGTTCTATTTTCAAAAGCAAAGGTTTCGGCAGGTGGATGGTGTTGCAATGGGTAGTCCACTCAGACCGCTCTTAGCGGATATTTGCATTGCCCATCTTGAAAATCAAGTCAACGTGGAAGGGGGAACACACAACTGTATGGTTGACGAAGGAAATAAGAATGAATTCACCGCGGCAGAAGATTGCGGGCTCGATGCTGAGTTATGTAGGAAGGTAAGATATAAAGTGGGGAAAATAGTCTCTATCGGAAATGATAGAGTTGAGGTGAATACTATATTAATACGATCATATAAAAAGGGAAAAAATAGAAGTGAAAAATAAGATAATTTTATAATTATAAGAAATAATATAGGTTATAAAATATCAGCACTATACAATAGTTTCAGGAAGTATACCTCGTAGTTACCTTTATAATTTATTGAATATAGATATATATAGTTTTTATGTGGAGAGAGATTTTATTATTATTGACCTACATTGTACATGTGGCTATAATTAGGTAACACTCAAAGCGGGAGGGTGCTTGGGGCTTACCTGTTATGTGGGGGGAGCGTACCGGTTTGTCCGGGGCGTGTGGAAGGTTCGGGCCGTGATTTGCGATGTGTATCGTACAGGCTGGCGAACTTATGTTTTCCTGTGGTTACTTCATACTTTCGAATTTAATAGGCGAAAAGGGCGCTTGTGAGTGGAGTGATGAACTTGCTATGTTTTAGCAATGTGTCATTCTGGTCGCGTACAGAGTCTCACGCTGCTGCGCCCTTCACAGGGAATCTGATGATGGCACCTGTCGCTTTACAAACTAAGTCTTCCATTTTCTAATGATTAGACAATTCCCCGCATCTCAGTATTACCCTATATCCCAATAATTAAACACCCCTAACCTCCCCCCCCCCCCCCCCCCCCCCCCCCCCCCCCCCCCCCCCCCCCCCCCCCCCCACCCCCCCCCCCCCCCCCCCCCCCCCCCCCCCCCCCCCCCCCCCCCCCCCCCCCCCCCCCCCCCCCCCCCCCCCCCCCCCCCCCCCCCCCCCCCCCCCCCCCCCCCCCCCCCCCCCCCCCCCCCCCCCCCCCCCCCCCCCCCCCCCCCCCCCCCCCCCCCCCCCCCCCCCCCCCCCCCCCCCCCCCCCCCCCCCCCCCCCCCCCCCCCCCCCCCCCCCCCCCCCCCCCCCCCCCCCCCCCCCCCCCCCCCCCCCCCCCCCCCCCCCCCCCCCCCCCCCCCCCCCCCCCCCCCCCCCCCCCCCACCCCCCCCCCCCCCGCCCCCCCCCCCCACCCCCCCCACCCCACCCCCCCCCCCCCCCCCCCCCCCCCCACCCACCAACAACTACCCACCCACCCCACCACCCAAAAAATACAACAAAAATGACTGATGGAGCGGTACGTAGATCGGTATACCGTAAGCAAAGTAGAAAGGGCCAGTACCTGAATTTTATAGTTTATACCCAAACCCTACAAACAGGGATTGGCGCAGACCCTGTTTGACCGAGCAAGAAAAATCTGCACGCCAGACAGGCTAGATGAAGAGATGCGATTCCTCTCTAACATCCTAGAAGAAAACGGGTATCCAAATTCTTTCATCGCACATTTCAGTAAGAAGAAGGAGAAGGAGGTATCCACCGTGTCAAAGCTTAAAGTTACACTGAAGCTACCGTTTAAAGGAGATGATGTAGGCCAAATATTTCAACAGCGTTTGAAATCCGCGGTCGCACGAGTGCATGCGGCGGCGCAACCCGTACTGGTATACACAACGACGCGCATTCCCACAACTTCCGTTAACCCGCAGCTACCTCAGTCTAGCCATTCACATATCGTTTACAAATTTACATATAATTGCAACGACACTTACATAGGCATGACAGAGTGCCAGTTGCGGGTGAGAATCGCGGAGCATATCCCAGCGTGTTTCAAGAATCCGATTTCGAACCTAGCCCTGTCCACCACCCAAGTTGCGCAGCCAATGAACGCAAGTGGTCAAGCTTTTAAGGCGCCTGCGTCATCCATCGCCCGCCATCTCTTGACCGACAAACACTGTGTTGACCCCACGCGTATGTTCATGTGATTTACCCATCAAACAACGCTCATGAGCCAGGATACGCTGATGTGGTCGCAATCAAACAGCTTGGCCTTTAATTGTGGATGTTTGTGAGTAGTGTAAAGTTCGAAGAAATTAGAAGCCACGATTAAAATGCACCAACATGAATATGCCTCGACGGGTAGTCGAACCCGGTCCACGAATTACCGGTCCGCTGCTAAATACCATCACACCACCCCCATACTATGTATGACTTACCAAACTAGACCGTCTTATCACCACCTCCTCACTTTGCGTGTGCACACAGATTCAACCCCCACAAACACCATTAATACTTCGATGAGTTCTCTTCTACACGTCACCTTATAGCCCGACACTAGACGTAATCTTTTGTTCCTAGATCACACACGTGCCTCATAACTCCCAATACTCTCCTTTTCCACGCTCATTCTCCACCTATACAACCATCTTCCACCCCATCCAAATGTATACTGACCAGCATCACCTATCCCCCAACATACATGTCCACCATTCATCACATCGGCTATATCTAAACCATTTTCCTAAATCAAATATATATACGTATACCACCAATCCAACTCTCCATCTCAAGAAGTACATCCACTCCTCCCAACTCACCCAACAACACCTCCACACAACCCCAGACCAATAATATCCCATCCTCCTACCAACTGCTCCCTCTCACTCGTCACGCATTAAACAGTCCATACTCCCTCCCATCGCGCTAAAAACTCACCACCTTTATAACCACCTTTCCATCTTATACCTCCCCCTCCCTCCATCTACATATAGAGATACCTCCCCTCTATAAATATAAACACCCCAATCATCAAGTTGTCCCCTATATGTAATTGTGTCTAAGTCCGAGTGCTCAGTATATAAGTGTGTAATATACCTGTGTACCCTGTATAGAACCATACTCTATATCTCTCTCTATCAGCTCTCGTACATTCATTAATGACCTAAGTAAACTCCTAGTGTTACTCCCACAATCACTCTGTCTAATGATATCAGACAATATAGTCCTTCTGCAAATAACCCCTATGTATCACTCTCTTTATCCAATATATGTGTGTTTGACTCACTAGAATGTCAACATCCTCTAGTGTTTCTACGACTCTAGTGAGTCTTACATTGTGTCTCTCATTGCTCGCTTCGCGCACTCTCACGTATACTTCTCTCCCCTCCTCCTCCTTTGTGTTGTGAGATGTAGATATATATATATTGTGACTTCAAACTTACGATGTGTAGATATACATTCTCAACCCCCCTTCCCCCTAACATCCAGCTTCCCCCCCCACCCCCCCACCCACCCCCCCCCCACCCCCCCCCCCCCCCACCCCCACACCCACCCCACCCCCCCCCCCCACCCCCCACCCCCCCACCCCCCCCCCCACCCACACCCCCCCCCCCCCAACCCAACCCCCCCAACCACCAACCCACAAACCCCACACCACCCCACCCCCCACCCCCAACCCCCCCCCAACCCCCCCCCCCAACCACCCCCCCCCCCCCCCCCACCCCCCCACCCACCCCCCCACCAACCCCCCCCCCCCCCCACCCCCCCCCACCCCCCCCCCACCCCCCCCCCCCCCCCCCCCCCCCCCCACCCTCACCCTCTCCCTTATCTACCCACTGATTCAAACACTGACACACTCCCCCCTCCCCTTATTTACCCCACCCAATATTCCTCACAGCTCCCACCATCCCCAGAACACACCATAGTATTATCACTCTCAATATATATACCTTCCCACACCACCAATCCCCCCCTCCCGTACAAAACCTACCCCCAATACACCAATACCACCCACCACCCCCCCCCCCTCCCGCATACCCCATGTAGTCCCCTATAAGAGCAATAAAATAATCCACAAACCCACACTATAGCTGTCAATTACCTACAATGCTCTCAAATACTCCCCCCCCCCCCCCCCCCCCCCCCTTTATCTCCACAGATACCGACATTTGAACCAAGATATACGAGATATTCATTTATTGTATAATGCCCCTCTGCATCTACCTTCCCCCCTTCCCTGTCCTATCTTCACTTTGTGTGTGTGTGTTTACATATTCGGTAACCTGTGATTATCGAGATATTGTAAGTTTGAAGCTCATGTTTACCATGCGACGAAGTCAAACGCGTATTCAGATTGGCTCTCGGCTACTTATACCACTTAATTAATCCCATTACAAACTCGCTGTGTGCTGTCTATATACTTACATCGCCCCCCCCTGATTTACCTGCCTACAATACATTAGAGGCCCTCTCGGCCTGCCGCGTCACGCAAACTCGCGAATGCGACACGCTGAGATCTAGTCTTATCCACCCGACGCTCGGCAGAGCCGCCCGGTTCTAGGACGCCTCCGTACGCACAGCCATGTTGCAGGTTCTCCGTATTTGTCCCACATTCTCATCCTCCACATCGAACCGTCTATGGAGTGGAGCTATCGCATCGCGGACGTATTCAGAAGCTCTCGCGTGTCAGGTATGGGTGGTAATCTGTATACAGGTTCGACTAGGTACTTACTCTTGCTACCGCTAGGTGCATACTTTCCCTCTTCATATCATACGATTTATCAACTATGTGCGCTGCATGTGTATATCGTTGAAGTTACTCAATAAGCACTGCTCTAGGTTTGGGTTGTACGGCTCCTCTGCCCCTCGGAACATAAAGGTTGGTATGTTCCTAAAGCCAGTATTGTCGCATTAAGGCGTACGCCTATAACTATGTTGGTCACAGTCCATCAACGTACTGCTCGAGAAGCGGAAACTTGGAGTTATTATCGATGCTCGAAAATACACGCACTGAATCTTTACTAGGTGCTCGCAGTACGCAAGAATGATCAGCGATATGCCATCCATCTGTTGTGCACTCCCTTTACACCCTACTTTATCTGATGATACATATGCGCATACAGTACTACTCATGTCCTCCCCCACACCCGCGCTTATTAGCGGATATAATGAGTCAGCAGTCGACCCCCCAGATCGCTCTGATATCGCTGTCACGACTAACTACAAGATGACATAGTGCTAGTCAACTTCTTCTACGCTATACGTCGTATCAGATGAGAAGAACACCGGACCTACTTCTCGATCTCCCCGTCACACAATCTCGGTGAGCAAGCGTACCTTAATGTAATGTATGTAGATCACTATGCGACTCTCAGATCAACTACCAGCACCGTTCTCCCGCACTAATCAGTTTGAACTGTGTCGCCACCATCTCAATATCTCCTCCGCCCCCGCAGCCAATTGCAACACTACATGCGCAATACACTCTAAACCGAATATCCACTAGCACATGCCTCCTACTTGTACTCCCCAGTTCACTGATGTGCAGACACCCCTCCCATTGAACGTCCCAAATTACACTCCCACCGCTCGTTCCCATTCTGTTATTACCTAAACCCGGTCCAGCCACTCCGTTGATTCTCTCATCACGCACTTTCCTCCAAGCTCTGTGAGCCTTTGTTGTACGTGTTAAGCTCGCACTTGAGATGTGCCTTCACATGTGCACATACTGCACAGAGGTAGGAGCAGTGCATCGGTCTCTTTCTCGGCGAGCAGAAGCAATCTACAGTGTTCGCCGAGTCCACCTGTGTATTACGTGCCCCAAACCGTATTGTGTCCCTGTGCCTTACTCTTCATAAATATCTTGACTTAGTCCTGTTGTTCCTACCCCCTGTGACTCCCCTTGCCCACTCTCTATGCGTCCCGGCTCACCCTGTACGGGTGCAACAAGGATCCAGATAATACCTTATGTCCTGTAGTCCAATCGCACACGCCCCCCATTCCGAGTATGCTAGAAATTCTCTGTCTCAGTGTTTTTAGTGACCTTTTTGGTTTCCGGAACACCGCCTGAGGCCGCCTTGACGATCGACCCTCATTCCCACCGCCCACATCAGAAAGAGAGAACCCCCAATACACATGCACTATGGCCAAACCGTGCCCTCCAGTAACCTATCCAGCCGCTCGCCCTTAAGCGCTCCATCCATACTTGTGGGGCAATCGGTTTGAGATACCGACGGATCGTAAACCACTACCCTTCCAAATCTATTCCATTCAGCATCGCCAACGCGAAATTGATAAGTGCGCGCCTGGTCTCTTCGGTAAGCTACCCGTTTTATTGCAAGCGCTTATTTTTGCATAAGAACTATAAAACCACACTGCGTTCTTGCGTGCACTGCTACGCCAGGCAATGTTATATGGACCATATGCTCAGTTAAACAATGAGCGTACATCCTACAAATTATTACGTGTCAAATTATTCCGTGTTCTTCCATTGTGGCACCGTGAGCAGATTTTTGCTTACATAGTATATATGTTTACTTACGTAATAAACGTTTGAACAAAGGTTCGGTGCATGTCGCCCACCCGAAGTCAGTACACATGGCTACATTGCAGTTATCAAGTGCACGTGGCAATAATTATGCCGATGGCCTAATGTTATGCCGCGTGATGCTTACCAGTGCTGACCTTCAACGAAAGAAACATGCCTCCCCAAGTAGGGAATGCCAGCATTTACCGATTGACAAATGTTTGCGTTGTCGTACAAACAACGCCACCTGCGCGACGATGGTAGCTGCAGTCACACCATCATTTACCTCAGTATACACGTTAGCTAGGTGAGAAACAACTAAGCTACGGTGACGCAATACCTAGATGGAAAAGGGAATAAAATACAAAAGGGACAAGGCAGCTGAGCTACCGGTAACGGATGGGCTCAGTAGACTCTGGGCAATACCGACACCGGCATGACCGCTGCTCGAAGCTGTATCGTCACCGGACAGACGCAATAAGAAAGTGCTACGGGGGTCACCTGAAGGGGATCGCAAAGGTAGCGCAGAGTTCGGGTATTGCAGGCGGGTCTCCGATAGGTAGTAGATATCGATATAGTTCGTAGAGTTGTAGGGAGCGATAGGAAAAACCCATGTCTGGATGACACGTCGTTGCTTAAGTGTGTTCCCTGCGGGATTGTTACAGCTGCAGCAAACCAGCGGAATCCAGGCATGCTCAGCAAATACTTGTCCGATCGTTCCTTAAGACATTCCTCTATCTGGACACTTACCACATATTCAGCGTCTTTAAACTTTGAGCAAGTGCTGCCTGTTGACCGACCTGTAGCAACGTGCGTACCTTGAGGCGTGCCAATTAGAGTTGGTCAAAGGCTGCAGTCGGAAGCCGATGAATTTGGCTTGGCCGCTTACTTGCATATGAGCTTGTTGACACAGCAGGAATGACGCTACACCTTCACATGTGAGTTGAAAGTTAAAGTCTATCAAAACTAGATTGGGAGGGCAAAATGGGGTTGGAAACTGGGGGATAAATCTGAAGCTGGAACGGGACGGTAAGATTGAAAAGCGTAAGAGGGGGAATAAGCACATGGGTATGTTTAAGCAGTAGCATGCAAACCCCTATCCACCTTGCTCGATGCAGCAGATAGGGCACCGTTGATTGTTCTCTGCGGTGGCCAGAGTTTCAGGAAACTGTTTGAAGTGCCATACATTGTATAGCGTGGATAGGGTACTGTCAGGTTGCCCTGCCCTAGCCAACAGAAAGATTAGGGTTCTCAACCAAATCATTTGGTTCAAAAGCCTGACCGCAAAGTAGCGGGTTATGAGTTTGGCTACAAGGGGTCCGTTTTAAGGAATAAGGAGCTGTTTTATTCCAACCCCAAACCTGGAGGCTGTTTGTCTGGCCCCTCACCATTGACCAATCTGGTATGAGGGGTACTGAAGTTGCAAAAGCACAACTCACCGTAGCTTATTGGTTCTCTAAAGCGCACAAACCATCGCACCACGGTAAGGTCCAGACCGATAGTAGGGCAGCACACGCTACAGTAGTGCGTAGTGCCGTAAACACACTTTGTCTGCGTGACCTCGGCGGACAACTGTGTATAAGTGCTTGCAAGAAAATTTTCACTGCAGTTGTCAACTAAAGCGTTAACCTGGCAGAGCTTGTTTTGCAGGATACGTTAATTATTGAAGACCATCTGTATGTATTTGGTAGCTTGAGCCTGGGATCGTGCTCCATCGGAACCGGTGCTGGCAGGGAGAAAGTGCACCGCCGGCTAACCACCCGAAAACCAACTAACAGATCTTTTCTCAGGCTTCACGACGGGCTTCAACCTAGTACAGCTTACACAACTTCAACCTCTCCGTTAAAGCGAGGTCTAAGTGCAACATAACACCAGTATCTTTAAGGTTAATGGCAAAAGGTAGAGGAGCTTGGGGTACCTCTGGAGCGGACCGAGCAACACGTATCAGCTTTCTCAATCGACAAACTACTGAGTCTGGTGAGTTTTCGGACAGTGACGCCGGAAAAGCCCAGCAGTAAATTTTTAAAGCATAGCCTAAAGAAAGGAAGCTCATCTAGCATATGCTCCTTTAGAGGAGCAGCATGACTTAGTGGCGATACTGAAAATAACACTGCAACTAGTATACAACTTTGAGGAACGAGGAGTACTTACCAAACGCTCTGTTGACGTTGGCGGGTTCGCATTGGCGTTCGAATTTTTAGACTCCAATGTCGTAAACGAACCAACCTTGGATGACACAGCTGCAGTAGAAATGGAAGGGAAGGGGGTACCGCGCCCGACGGAAAGGGTACAACCGCCTTGGGTTTTGCCACTTTTTACCCTTCTTCCCCAGCACTTTGGCAAGGGTAGAAGCCGATTGTTACTCTTGCTAAAAGACGAATCAACCACGGTATCTGAGGGTTAGTTGTCAACAGGGTTACTACTAAATTGTGTACTGACAGTAGACAGCCCGGGTCTGAAATTTGTATCTTCCACAGCTTCCGGACGAAGACCTAATCAGTCCAGAAACTTAACAAAGCAACCAAAGTTCCCGTCTAGTGAACACAGCAAAACCAGGCTTTCCGGAAACATCGGACAGCTAGTTACTGAGATATGGGCTCTGTGCTACGCTCACAGCAGGCAACGCAACTGCGCGTTATGCTCTCGCTATTAGCCATAAGTGCCTACCGC